AACATTTTAGGAAATAAAAAAAATAAAGCAGATGTATGATAATAAAAATATAAATGCAATGAGTAAAGGATTGAATTAAAATTAATGACCACCTAGAATCAATTCATCATTTTGCATATTTTTCAAGCCAAAATGCCCAAAATGGGCTTTTTCCAGCTTTTCAACTGTGAGAATTACCTGTTTTTTTTTTGTCTTGCATGTTAATCAGTTCAATATTTTGGGGATTTTGGTTTGTTGGTTGGATAAACCTGGAGCTGTAAGATACAGTGATGGACATTTATCACTGTTTTGTGATGTTTTATACATTGAAAAATCGATCAAGTAAATAATTGTCACATTAAAGGTGCAGTGTGTGAGATCCAGTGACATCTAGCGGCGAGGCTGCGCATTGCAGCGTTCAACAGAGTTCTCATCATGTTTAACAGTCCTCACAGCAATTACTATAAATGTAGGACAAATTGTGCACTGACTTGACCAAGCAAAAGCTAATGGCGACTCACTTGACCACTAACTTGGCCTGCACGGGGACATCTTCACAGAGTCCAGGCAGACCCCTGCAGAAGGGGAAGGTGACAAAAATTACACCACAACCTCGTCCATGTGGACACACAAAGCATGAATTGCCTCTTACCCAGCACTGGCCATGTTCTATTTAAAGCTATCAAACAAAAACTTGCATTTAGCTTAACTTTATTTGTTAGCTGTCCAACAGAAAACAGGCAACTTCTCTGTGGAAACATTTGTCCCTCAAGGATTTCCATGTGGGAAAGGCCATACCAGTGCTTATCCCCGTCTTGTGCCATTGCCTGTCCCGTTTCTCCGTGGCTCTAGAGCCAGTGTGTGGTTTGTCTGTTCTGGGCTACTGTAAAAAAACATGGCAGCTCAACATGGGGGACCCACTCTTATGTAGATATAAGAGGCTCATTCTGAGCTAAAGAAAATGCAACGGTTCTTATTTTCTGGTGACTACACATTAATGGAAACATAATTATGCATACTATAGCCCCTTTCTGCTAATAAATTACACACTGCACCTCTAATTGATAATAAAAATGATAATGGTGATACTGTCTGTGATGTCTCTGCATGGTCTTTGTTGTTGCTCCTTGATTGATTTTGCAGTTTGTGCCAGAGGGACAAGAGAGGGAAACTGTGAGGTGTGTGTGTGTGTGTGTGTGTGTGTGTGTGGAGGGCGGGGGGGGCGGTGTGGTTCGAAGTGGCCTCCACTCACCCATACCTTTCTCATCTGTTTCTCCAGAGATCACAGCCACAAGGATCACGACCAGAGCTCTTCCCGAGGTAAGAACAGTGTTGTTGCACTTCTAATTTTAAAGCCTAGACAGGCTGGTAGAAGTTAAAATGAAGGCCACTCACTCTCCTACTGAAACAAATAGTGTTTTTGAAACTTATCATTAACAACAGATGAGGCCAGCAATCTAAAACGGCACTGAACTGCTTTCCTTTCAATAGAGCAGGAATTGCAGAGACCATTTCAGTGTTGGTCATTTGGGAGCTATTGCTGTCCCCTCAGGTGACCCATTTGCCTGATGATGCTCGGACAGTTTGAACCACAGTGCTCATTTCTCTCCTTATAACCTCCACTGATACTGTAGGTTCACAGACATCAGTGAGGAGCATTTCATAATGGTTTTTCTCCACTCTGTCTTCTTCTCCTCTTCCATCACATATTCCCTTCTCTCCATTCCTCTCCATGATTTGAAGGGGCACCAACCCATTTGCGACAGTTAAGCTCAAGCCCACATCCACCAATGACAGATCGGCGCCGAGACTACATCGAAGATGACACCGAACCCTGAAACAAATACTTTCACTGCACTTAACGATTCATCCTGGACCTTGACACTATACAATGCTGAGTATGTGGATGTTGTTTTGACCAAAAAATTCTTTCATAGTTTGTTATACTCTGTTCACCAGTGTCCTTCTGCATGGATTCACACAAAAAAGGTGAAAAGGGAAATAAATTAGAAAATAAATTTCAAATTCTTGGGCTTGCACAAGGATTGAGGACGCTGTATTCTTTACATTGAACGTCTACAGTGAAGCTGCCCTTGAGTTTTGGTTCTGTGATTTGTAAAATAGCAACAGTGACATTTCCGTTTGTGTAACAAGCTAAAACTGTATGAAATCATAATTCATCCTCTGAGATGTTTGATTTATTAGCAAATGCTGAAGGTTTTTTGACAGGAGATGACACAAATGACTTATTTGTACAGTTAACATCAGGAATCAGTGCTAAGAACTAATGTGCTTGATGCCAAAAAACTGTATTAAGCTACTTTAATGATCTTTTTTATGAGTCTGAAGCATTAATCTCTACATGGTCGATATGTGATATTAAGTCCATTTCTAAATATTAATTGCATTTCAAATGTACTTTGGAAAATGGCTTGTAAAAAATGAAAATGAAACCTCTGGCAGATAATGTAACATGTTTTTAAAATAGAATAAAATCTGAGGCAGAAATCTAATGAAAAATGCAAAACATTAATGGATTATGCAACATTATTAATGTAATATCTTTATAGTATTATATAATTACATAATAGGACAATATTGATCTGTAAGGTAACAAAGACAAAAATGTAATTATTACATAATAAAAAATAGTATCGGGTAAAGATATTTGTAGATATTTCTGTATAACCTTAAATATTGAGTACTAAATGAACAATTAAAATCTGAAAAAAAAAACCTCATCTAATTAATTTTTAAGAGATTCAGTGAAAAACCCAGCTGAGCTGCTGCTCCAGGTCCGGCCAGGTCTGAAAACATGTTGCTGTCTCTGTGCCACCAGTTCATCTTTTCCCAGTGGAGCCACTTCAGACAATAAAGAAAAACTGTTTTGTCAGAAACTCATATGTTCAAGTAGAATCCCATCACTCATATTAAGAAGCTTAATAACTTTGCTTTTAAAAATGGTGCTTTCTTTGTTCCAGGACGTCTCACACATTGATGACGCAGTTTCTCTGGCCAGTCACTAGTCTACAGCGTTTACACGTCACCATTTGGTATCGCCTCTGCTCGCCTGGAACCTCAGCAGAGGTGATAGCAAAAATACAGTAGTACCAGGTACCAGGTAGAATCCCCAACATTTGACTGATGGAAAAACTAATAAGACGAGTCGAGTCGAGCAGGTACCAGGCGGTGGAAAAGGGGGATTTTGTCACTAGTTAAAGAAGAGGCCAGATCCACATATCTCCCATAATGCCTCTCTCTCTGGTGACCATGTTGTGCAAGTGACGCTGACATATACGGTCTGCTGGGAGAAGCAATGAGCTGCACAGTTCTGTGCCTCTAAGCTTCAGACCTGCATTTATACGCTCAGGCGGTGAAATGGCCTACTAAAGAAGATTCGCGTTTTTTTCTTGATTGGGTGCTCCGATGGGCATACTTAACCCAAATTGAACTTCAGCGTGATTCCAATTCTGCTAATAGCCTGACAGCATGGTTCTGTTAACTAGCAGAGCACTTACGAATGAAATACGACCAAGTGGAATGATGTGGCCTCCGCTGTCATCTTTCTTTCAATGGAGGTCCATTCAAAATGCAGTGTGGACTGGAGAGCCGATGCTGGCAGAACAAAGCTCCTCAAGTCATCTGTAATCACACAAAGTCAGTTTTTAGGGCTGTACTCGACTAAGGATTTTGTCAGTCAGCTCTTCACTGCAACTATTCATTCATTCATTTTTCTTTTAACTACTAGAACATACATTCACCTCATTTTTTGAGCTTTAGGTCATGTCTAAGATGATAATTCACTCTTGTAACATTGTAGATAAGTCAAAAAACAAGCAAAAGCATTCCTCTTTTAACTCCTCAAAGAAATCTTTTGCCTGCACAATTTGTGAGCTTCCTAGTCCCATTCAGATGGATGCAGGTCACAGTAAACAGCTGTGAGTTGCACTTTGATGGTGATAGGTAAACAAAGTGGGCTCACATAATGTTAGGCTTTACAAAACCATCAACAGTCTTTTCTCTTGTAAAGTAGACCACGATGTTTTAAAACACTTCTAATAAAGTACAAAACTCACCTTTATGTGGCTGGTCCTGGTGGGTTCTGTTGTCCTTTTCTCCTCGTTCTGAAATTTGCTAAATAGGTCCGACCTTAATGTACATTCATGTGTCGGACAGTCACCGCTGAAGTAGGCATCCCCCCACCACCACAGGGGGCGGTATTGAGCAAACTGCTGCTTGGCACACCAGAAGACGACAAACTGAGGCTGAGGCTGCCTTCTGTTTTAATCCACACTGACTGACACAATATAAAATAAAAACAAAGGATCGACTAAACGGGTCTCTTGGCTAATGACTTGACTACACGACTATCTGGGGGGCAGACCTAGTGTTTTTAATTCAGCTTCTTTTCCTGTGTTCATGTCAATGCAAATGAATGCTGTAACACTGAGGTACAAGTTTGACCTTTTAAAGACAAAAGTTTTCCTGTAAACATTATTATGTTGCTGTCAAGATGTGCTCCAGTTGTTACGCTTGAGAAAAATGACAGCGAAACATGAAGAGCTGGACAGGAAGTGTGAAATCAGATAAGAGAATCACATCAAAGCAAGGAATTAACAGAAGACTTAGTGAGTCAACTTGGTCGAGGTTTTGTTGTCTTCATTTTATTTTACTCTTTCACAGCTTGATCTCTTTCTTCTTTTGGTATGTTTACAACAGCTCATTACCACAGGAAAAAAGGATGGAGAGATACGTAGGTGGGTGTGGATGGTGCAGTGGTGTGGGAGGAGACAGAAGGGAGAAGGGAGGAAGGGGTGATAGGTGAACTCAACAGAGGACAGAAGAACAAGGGAGGAAGATGAAGGAAAAGAGAGGTGATGTGTTGTGCAATATGAAGGTGAAGACAGGAAATACCTTCTCATATAATCTCTTTTTTAATATCTGCTTTAAAGTGTAAGGTTTTATCCCACAGGCATGTTTTATATCTACACATAAAGAGAAACCATAACATTTTTTTTATAAAAAGAATAAAATAAATAGGATGAATATAGCTAAAGGGGTATTTGAGGATGTGGGTGTGAGGCGGACACACACCACGGCCTACTTCAGCACAACTCCGCACTCGGTGAAGACAGCGATGGGGATGGGGATGAAGAAGAGGAGTGTGTCTGCAGCCTGGTGGCCTGGGAGTCGGGCTGGGGAGGGACAAAGGGGGTCAGCAGGTGTCAGGATGTGGTGGCAGCTAGGTGGTGATTTTCAGTCACATTAGCTGACTATTCTTTCACCAGGGCAGCAAATTCTGCAAGAGAAAAAAACAAATGCTGTCGGAAGGTTTCCATTATTTTTCTATAGATTTAACACTAGACATACTTTCAAAACTTGGCTGAGTGTTGTTAAATGACAGTGCAGGGTTAAAGGGGTCGAGAAGTCTCGGTTTCGCTGATTAACAAAAGATTATCTCTGTGACTCAAGTTTGTGTAATACAGGTGAGTCACAAGCTGGGGCAAAAAAAAAACAGTGTTTGAAGTTAAGGACAGTATGAAAATGATTAGGCAGAAACGTGCATATGTGCATCTCATAAGGACGCCTTGACAAAGCCTCAGAATCTGACGTCCTAGGATCAAGAACAGGCTGGAGAACCAATGAATACATGAACAGTCAAAGACAGTCTGGCTGTGTGTGTTTGTGTGTGACTTTCTTTCTACATTTGTGCTGCTCAGTGTCTGTGTGTGTGACCCTGTGACACTCCGACTAATGGAATTTGATACCATCCACTCCAATCTTGCCGTCTCCATCCTTGTCGGCTGCTTTTAAAAATGCTTTGGTCTCTTTGTCTGTCAGGTCCCTGCCATCTTTGGCAAATCCCTTCAGGACAAACCTAGTCGGAAACAGAAAAGCAGAACGAAGCTGAGTCACGGAACGTTTTCGCTTTGTGTGACATGAGGTCACTGGTTGCATCTTTTGGTTTTCAGTGTCTTACTTCAGCTCCTCCTCCTCTATGAAGCCGCTATTGTCAGCATCCAGCACCGTGAAGACCTTCTTCACATCGTCAGCAGACTTGGACTTCAGACCCACCATCTCAAAAAACTTCTTATGGTCGAAGGAGTCAGGAACTGCAAACACACACGGACAAAGAAACACAGGAACGCAAACACAAGGTCAGTGCAGCTTTAAGCCTCATAATGTTTACTGCCGACACTTAACAAAATGTTTCACACATGAATCCCTAAAAATAAATAATTAAAAATATAGACCATAATGGGTTTGAAATCCCTCACAGTTCAGACTCCTCTGCTACTTCTGGGATGATCTGGTTGAGAAGCCCAGAGGCAAAAATTAATTATAGTATGGCAGCCTTTTAACAGCGTGACAGTTATAGATTGAGAACATGGGTTTGCCAGAGGACCCATCAGTACTAGGTCACTGACTACCTCCTCTGCCTGTCTGTCGACGCTCTACAAGCAAATACGCTAACTACAGATGTGAATGTAATTCTTGAAAGTATTCATCAGTATCAGTTTTTGCACCTCAACCTGCTTTAGCCAGTGTCTCGGTTCAAGCACCTGTGGCCAAACAAGTACAAAATCCAATTCATTTTTCATTTTGTGGGTTTGAATCATCAGCACAAAAGATGAACAACCGTGTAGCAAATGTTTTTTTTTTTAAATAAAAAGTCAAAGGTGCTGCACAAACCTGTGTACATAAAAACTTGAGGCTAGAAGTTAAATGCAGCTCCCAAGGTGAATTTTGGCAAGAAACATCCACTAGAGAATGTGAAGGCACATCACGTGTTGAATGCTGGGATGAAGCCATTTCTGTCCAGTCTTTGCTCAAACTGAACACTAAAGTGGACGTAGTTCAAGCATCCGCAACTGTACAGCATATGGGGCAGTTTGTTGTTGTTTTTTTAAAATCAACTTATACATATATATATATAGTGTATACGTCTAGGGTTGATTATGAGTGTGATGCTCCAAACATGGTGCATTTACCCAAAATTCAAGACGTCGTTACAACTTCACCTTCTCTATCACATAACACAGCATTCTCTTACTGTACATGTGCCTTACTAGGCTGGTGGAAGCACTGTAGTTATTTGTTCTTCAGCAGTGAGCTTTAGCACTTTATCTGTGGCATAGCTCCTGCCACCACAGAGCACTAATCCAGGGGGATATCAGAGGGTAGGGACATCATACCTGTACTTTATCTGTGGCAAATGCTTTACCTGCAAATGCATGCAGAGCTTTCTTGATGTCATCAGTGTTGAGGATGCTGCTCATTGCCATTTTGGCTGCTGAAGAATAGAGATGACAGAGAACAGACAGAGAGGGAGTTAGAGAAGGACAGAGAAGGGACGAGGTTAAACACAAGGTTGCTAGAGAGCAGGACGAGAACTCGGAAACATTCTCGTATTACAATGGTGACACTGGAAATGGAGCAGGAAACCAGGACATATGAGAATGAGGTGATGAGCGACAGGATGGATTAAAGGCGGTGGAGGAGGAGCGACAAAAGAATGGGGGAAATGTGACAAAGATGGAGAAAGAGGAGGATACCACATGTTGATTGAAACAGTAAAGAGAGGAGGTGTTATGGGACACTTGTGAAAAGGTTAAAAATTTATTACAACAAAAGAGAGCAGGACAGGAGGGACAGAACAACCAGTGTTGGGTCCAGTGTTTTCCATTTGATCTGTGTGATACCTCTGAGCTATTACAGATGTAAGCAGGGCACAGGGCCAGAGGCCCAGTCAGCAGAGTTTTAACAGGTCATCTGAGGCTTCTGCTGTGTCTGAAGCAGCACAGGAGAATTCAGCTGGTCAGCCCAGCGCAGACACAGACTCTCCTTGTACCTCACACTACGAAACGTGAGCTCAGTACTTAACGGGCTCTTTACTCTGTGTGTGACTGAACCTGATCGCTGCTTATGAAGCCGTCACCTTCCCCTGACTTTGACTGACGTCCTTTCCTCTGTCGCAAACACACATATACAGTATGAATACACCTGAAGCTGAATGCACACAGAGAGTCTCCAAGCAAGCAGGAGTCTAAAGGGCTGTTACATCAGCTATTTTAACATGAAACAAAGTAGTCCCCATAGCCACACTGCTAACCAGAGGTAATGTAGTGGTGGTAATGAAGGTAATGTGCAGATAAATGTAGTGTGAACCACTACATATCATAGGCTTCTTCCACTGGTGCACCCCCCAGTTTCAGTGATGCATGTATGTATGCTGCAGTAACATACCGCTGTACACACAGCTCAATACTGAATGCAGCTCAACATGTGTGGCCGCACAGGCGATCTTTTATCATTCTAAAGGCACAACCTCCTTCTCTGACCTTTCTCGCCAAGGTGTCCACCGGGAAAAAAAACAATTCACCGTGAAATGAGGATGAGAAGATTGACTTACTGACTTATCAGTCACTGTGCTGCCAGAGGAAAAGTATAACGTGAGCTTCAGTGATGTATTTAAAGGAGCATACAGAGATCAGCTGTGGGTGTGCTCATCTCGTTTTTGATCTCAGGAGTTAACCTGAAATCCTTTGTTTTCTTTGGTGCACACTCGAATACATAGAGAGACATTTACTGCAGTGCCATACAAGACCCATGTCTTCCAGTTAAAGGAACAGTTAACATTTTGGAGATCCACTGTCCAGCCCTAAGTTAGATGAAAAGATCCACACCACTCTCATTTCTGTACTTTAGATATGCATCATGTGCTCTGCAGCACCTACACTAATTAACACATTACATGCCGTTTGCTTAATACCTTCAAAAACTGAAGGTTTATGGCACAACATAAACCAAACTGGGCCAATTTACCACAGAGACTAAACTTTATCTTATTATCAAAATGCTGAATTTGATCCTGGACCAGCCCCAAGTTTGTTACAACCTGGCTCAAGGCTGGACAAAGCAGGGCGGCTACACATGAGCTATAACTGAACATCTGCTTACTTTACAGAAATAAAAGGGTGTAACCAAACTATATACAACAAAAAGAGGCTCGCTATAAATGGCTGATCTTTACTATCAACTGAGCTGCAGTCTGAGAATGACAGAATAGCGAGGTCTGACTGCTCTCAGCAACAATCACTTTGTAAGCTTTTCCCTTTTAATTGTCTGAATTAAGTTTGATATGTCCATGAGACACCAACAAGGTCACCTGCTGCACTGCACTGCTGGTGTAATACACTTACTGGTTATTTGTTGCCTTTGTCTGTAACAGTTATCACTGCTTTATTGAGTTTTCTGCCCTGTAGTGTACCCTGTCCCTGCTTTTTAATCTCCTACTCTTTACTGTACTGCCCTCCGCAGTGTTGAAAGCCTGCCCTCACTGCGTGCTGTTTCCTCTTGTTTAAATTCGTAAGAAATCCACATTTTCATGTTGATGAAGAGCATGAACCACTCCAAGGCCATTTTCAAGAGGTCCCAGCGACTTTCTTTTTAAGTGCCTTCTGTCTGAACTGCTACTGAGCTGCAGAGTTGATCTTCAAATAATCTCAGTGGTTGAAAGAAGTCTGAGCTACCCTTTCAGTGTGCCTTTATAGAGCTGCTGAAAGGGAGAGAAAGTACAATAGTGTACACAATCAAGAACAAATACACATGCACATGCCCACACCTGTGTGTACAGAAACACACGGAGAACGGATTTGGTAAGTAGTGCAGAGGCCTTGGGGATCATCGGCCTGTTATCACCAATGTCCACTGTCTAATCCTCTGGCAGGTACGGGACAGGATAGCTTAATCACTCCACTGTAGCTTGGCAACAACAGCAAAGTGTGTGTGTGTGTGTGTGTGTGTGTGTGTGTGTGTGTGTGTGTTTTCACAGTTAGGCCGTTTATAACAGTTTCTGACAGACTCGGTTTGTGAGCTCAACATTTGTTATTTATGTGTTCACTTTCTTTTGCTAGCAGAAAACGATTATAGTCACTCGATGTGTGCAAAAACAAGGCTAGGAGCCCCGCTAACAGCTTCGTGAGGCTGCTCTTTGACACAGTGGTACTTTGAGCTAAATGCTAATGCTAGCTAATATACTCACATTAATAAGGCCAACATGCTGAACCTTAGCCATAGATGTATTAAGAAATAACTGGATCCCAGACAGAAACATGGCATCTGGTCACTTAAATGAAAGTGACGCATTCACCAGAAATAAATAAATTCATCTTCTACATTGTGCCACCCATTGCATATGCATGCGTATTAGTGTCTGCCGACGTTCTCCTGCTCAGAACATAATCTTTACACTGGGATGAAGGCACAAAAATAAAAGTATAGGTTTTGGGAAAGTTTACAAATATAAAACCTCCATGGATTAAAAATTCTTAATATGAAGTGTGATAAATGACGGATTAAAAATTCTTAATATGAAGTGTGTTAAATGACTTCACACAGTGGTACTTTGAGCTAAATGCTAATGCTAGCTAATATACTCACATTAATAAGGCCAACATGCTGAACCTTAGCCATAGATGTATTAAGAAATAACTGGATCCCAGACAGAAACATGGCATCTGGTCACTTAAATGAAAGTGACGCATTCACCAGAAATAAATAAATTCATCTTCTACATTGTGCCACCCATTGCATATGCATGCGTATTAGTGTCTGCCGACGTTCTCCTGCTCAGAACATAATCTTTACACTGGGATGAAGGCACAAAAATAAAAGTATAGGTTTTGGGAAAGTTTGCAAATATAAAACCTCCATGGATTAAAAATTCTTAATATGAAGTGTGTTAAATGACTTCATTTTTATTTCAAAGGGTCCTGTCAACAGTTTTACAGATGTCTCTTTTATCAATGTGGTTTATAAAGAAAATGCTTCTTGTGCCCTATGAGGTTTTTTTTGTTGTACCATGAGTAACCACTGGGAGAAACTGAACAGCTGAGTGGCTGTGCAGAACCCAGTTTTAAATACATTAATGTGTTTAGCAGATGTAATACTCGCTATGTTCATCATCTTAGATTATCATGTTCACCTCACCTCGAGCATGGGTCAGGCTCAAAATGTGGTCTGAACCATGTTCTATTCTGGCATATACAGTATGTGAGCTACTAGCTATGCATGCTAACACGTCACAGTGCTAAAATGACACAATGCACTTTTTTTTACACAAAGCAGGTATAGCATGCTAATATTTTCAAATTACTGTTAACACAAAAGTCAGGTGGGTTTAGAATTGAGGCCGAAGGGAATGTCATCAGTTTGCATGTATTTAATCATAAACAAGTTTTGGAAAAGTTAAAGTTCTGACTTGATGATGGTGCTGGATAAAAGGTCAAAGGATCATCAAAGTTCTGTCAATTCATCCTCAGGAGGATATGAATTTCTGTACTGAATTTAATAGAAATTCATTCAGTGGTTGTTGATACTTGTCACTAAAAAATATGTCAACCTCAGGGTGGCGCTAGAGAAGAAGTGGGGGATCATAAGTCATTAGAATACATCCTCTGAGGAACATGAATGTCTGCACAATATCTCCTGACCATCCATCCAGTAGTGGTTCCTAGAGCTTTACTGCTACAGCGACATGGCTTGAAGTGTGTGCGAGCACGTCGGCTTGATGCCCTGACCTGGTTAACTGCTAATTAAGTCACCGACTCTAATGGGATGACTGTGCAAAACACAGGAGATGAAAGCAATCTCAAGTGTTCAGACTCGATACACATCTGCATAAAATATTACCAAACTAATTAAAGATGCAAATTCCATTTAGTCTGTCATTCAAATCATCACCATTAAAGTCGTTAAAAAGCATCCATATTTCACTGTGACACACAAACAAAAGATCATGCTTCCTCCACATTAATTAACAGAGACTGCCATCCGCTTAAGTATTGTTCTGTCTATGAGTATTCATTGATCAAAACACAGCCAGTATCTGAGTGCAGGCAGTATTTTGTAAAACTCTGACCAGCTATAGGATCATGAGCAGCCTCGACAGGAACAACCGCATCAGCATTTTGAATACAGTTACCTGGAGCATGGATGTAAAATTTGACCTTGAGAAATACTGTAAGCATGGAAACAGCCCTCGCACTGGCAACAAACCATTGCTATCGCTGCTACTGTCTCACTCTGTAGAAGAGTCTGTGGAGATTTTAATTGCATTTCTTCGCACAGTTCTCTGTGACCTTTGCTGTTAGTTTCATCTATCACTGCATTTCAGTGCATAGCAACATCAAGTTCTGCAGAACTTCTGTAATGTCATTATCAACCATAGTTGAGATCTAAGATATGCTGCAGGCAAAATAGTCTCTTTGTTTCACACAGTGCAGTATTTCC